CTTCAAGGCTTCAGGTCGTCACCAGGCTTCAGGTCTTCAAGGCTTCATGTCTTCAGAGGAAAGTCACCCGGGATTGCCAACACACTGAGAAGCTACTAGTAGCTCCTGGCCTTATTACTTATATAGGAACAAGGACGCTACTATGATGCGTTTGATTGGGATGTTGGTGCGCGCTCAAAGGGGGCACCTCGCACATTTGTTCCAGCAGCTGGACCACATGGCTCAGGACAGAACAGAACCTCACCCCTAAGAGCCCCCGGGTTGTCACGCAGTCATCCCCCCCCCTTCCCCAACCCCCCGCCCCCCCCCCCCAGCCCCCCCCCCCTCCCCGTCAAGCCACGCGCGCACGGGACCACCCGCGGGGTTCCCGCAGAACTGGATACATCGACACCGCTCGGCTGATCCAAGTGGTCAAGGACGGCCCGACTGAAGGGCGTCGTGGTGCCACTGCTGGCGGTGCGCCCACGGAGTTTGGATCGGACCTGCCAGAAGATGATCACATGATCCGACTTTGGGGGGAATGAGGAAATTCAGTATAGACTTATTACCAGGACCTTCCAAGGGGTGCCCAATGGAAGCCTATAGGTAGTGTGGGGTAGTTCATTGGACACCCCTTGGAGGGTCCTGGTATGTTATGTCGGCTGTCGTTTTTTTGAGGACTGCATTTGTAGGAATGGAGGGTTCAGGGAGAAAAGGTCTATCCTTGTTACGACTGCAGTTCAAGTCTGAAAAGGTCGTAGCAAAAGGTTTATCCTTGTGTGCACTGAACATGTCGCAGGCCTGTTGCCACGCAGACGAAAAATTTTTTTGGAGTTGTTTGAAGGTGGGACTGGATGGTTTTAGCTAGATTGCAAAACGGTGTGCACAAACACCGGTGTGCACACACAGCCTTGCTGAAAGCAATCCAAAGTTCCGTCGGAGCCTGTGTCGGTGGCTTTTTGGTGCTCTTCGCCTCCAGAGTACAGTTTTGGAAGAAACATCCGTTCGCCTGGGGAGGAAACTGGAAGGGCAGGCGGCAGGCTTTAGTTTTCGCACGTTCTTTTGCTTCTTCTTTTGCTTCCCCCTTCTATCCCCTTCTGGCCTCCTGACACCAGCTGAAGCCGATCGGAATGACTGATGTATGGCAGGCATCGCCGTTCTTTAAAGTTCCTAGCCTTTGAACGGTTCCTAGCCTTTGAACGACATCGACCGTGTTCCACCCCCCCAGACAGTACTGTACTCACTTAGACGTGACAACGGAAGCTAGAGCAGCCTTGCTGACGTGGCACCACAGTGGGGCGACATCAGCGCCTTTGCAGCCCTGCTGGCACCACCAAGCACAACCACCTCTGTCCACACTGACCGGTGGAGCCGGCTGGGTGGAAGGCATGCGCGCCGGAACCGGAACCGCGCCTGCACCATCGACCCTCCCCACCTCCCTACAGGTCTAAGGCTAAGGCCTTGGGGATCTACTGCCACCCTCGTACGGTGAGGAAGGAGACACTGGAGACTGTAGGTGCCAGTCCCAGTCGTATCCAGTCCACCACCGAACCTGAGGAGAAGGTACGTGCATGGATCCCTAGAAGGGATGTTGATGGGAAACACTTTGGGGGTGGTGTGCCACCCATGGACTCCTCTACCTGGACTCCGAACACCCAACTGTTTGCGACGTTTGCGATGTTGCGCACATACACCTCAGAGTTGGCTTGGCTCCTTCTTGGAACACCAAGCAAGCCAAGCAAACACATGTGTTTCATGAACACTGTAGTACTTGCCAAACAAGTCAACATAATATGAAGAACATCGAAACGAGCCAAAAGCCGCTGTTTCATACTACCTGTCGCCGCCCTCCGACCACCAGAGACCTCACCTGCGTCTGGCTCGGGCTCGCACACGTGGACATCGGCAGGATGAGTTTGGCATGACCATCAAGATCGAAAAGCTCATCGAGGACAGAGCTCTCTTTTGGAGCCCCGGAATGGACGGAGGGACACCTGGAATGCATATTGGACAGAACTTGGGTCTGTCCCATTAAGAGTCAATTTTAGGATTATCACTCTTTTTGAGAAAGGCCTTTACAAACCATCATCATCCGCTGTTACGGGAATGGGGGGACATATTGCCGATGTACCCAAGACACAGAACACGGAACATAAAGAAAAAAGAGGAACGACAAACCAACACGAATTCATCCAACCGATTTTGAAGAGGTCGATTTTGGGAAGACGTCGACGTGTTTGTTCACCTTGATCATCCTGTCTGGGTGGCGTTCGACTACCCAGCCCACTGATGGACCGACAGGACCGCCCAGAACAGATGATCCGACGATCTGATCCCTTTTCGTGACGTCGATCGATGAGCTGCTTAGATCGAACCGATCCAGCCGCGAGCGATCACCCCAAGCCTTCAAGACCCATACACGACTAATGGGACTGCCATAGGACTGCCGCCCCATTGACCCCAGTCAACCACCCCTGGCCTGATCGGCAGTCCTATGGCACACATGGAGTGGGGAGATGGACCACGGACGTTTCTTCCGTGACGATAGGGAGCGAGGGCCAAACAAGCGTCCATGTACGTCACCGCGCAGGAGTGGGATAAGGACAAGGATGGGCGCTTGGACTACCGCGAGTTTGCTGCCATCTTTCAGCCGCCTGGCAGTGCGTCCTACCCCACGTCGACAGGTGTAGAAAGTTGCTGCCAGGTGCTGGATGCGGATCTCACGAATAGCGGTCGACTGGTTGATGGTTGACGTTTCCGGATGATACCAGACGTTATGTGATATTGTCGCAGTCGTAGTTGTCGTAGTAGCAGCTGTTGTTGTTGTTGTTGTGGTGTTTGTGGCTGTGGCTGTGGTTGTTGTGGTGGTGATTTTGTTGTTGTACTTATTCTTGATCTTCCGGTTGTTGTTGCTGTGGTTATAAATAGCTTAGCAATTAATTATTCCAATATCTGTTCATAGGTTTCATGGTCGTCATCACTTGAGCCATATACATCATTCGATCCTGCGAATTGCGCCCCACGGACGTCCGGATCCCCATTTCATTCCACTAGTGCCCAACCTACCCAAATCTCCGGGGAAAGTTGCAAAACCTCTTCATGCTGGATCCACTGCCACCGTACCGACCTGGTTCGGTACGACTGGACCCGACTGGCTGGCGACTGGGATGGATGACACGGTCTTTTGTTCTATCCTTAGGGCTCCAACTACCTTCTGTTGGGCTGGGTGCCAGGGGGTTCCCAGCGCCGAACCTGAGGATATGGGGCGGAACTCGGAGCCCGGCAGGGTTTTTTGGTGGATCCTGTCGCCACTACATTCGTTCATGAACAGAGAAAGACAGAAAGATAGGTCAAGGGTTCCCCTCAAAGTGCCCAACACAAAAAGAGTTGTGAGTGTTCCAAAGACTTCTCAAGACAGAGGGTGTTGACAACTCTTTCTATAGCTACGTGTCTTAATTTCTCAAGAGGCACTCCCCCGTGATATGAGCCCATGGATGGTCATGGTCAGCTTTTAGTTATTTTTTTTCAACCCCAAAAAAGCACTCATGTCACATGTGGAGATGGGTCAAAACCTCGAAAAAGCACCATGTGCCGAATGAGTTCGACGACTCGACGAGTCGACGGTGCCGGCGCTGTCTGCCGCTGGCCGAAACGGCGGTCGGCCGAAACGGTAGAAACGATTCAAAAGCATCTCACACTCCATGCCGGATTTCGGGTGTAGGGTGTATAGTCCCTAAAGAGGTCCATTGTGGTTGTCCCTTCACCACCCCAACTTGGGGGTCCAAGTGTATGGTCCTTTGATGCCTAGTATTACGGACCCTGAGAATAGATCCGCAGTTTTCGACCATTTCGACCTGTACAACTTCGACAAATTGCCCAGGGGTTCCATTTGAGCGGAAGAACAAGCAGGGGAGTCAACCAAAAATGAATCCCAGACACGACTAATGGGACTGCCATGGACTGCCATATATGCTTGCAGCAAGACCCCCAAAAACCACCCCAACTGATGGGCATATATGGCAGTCCCATTAGTCGTGTCTGGGAATTACTCAGGAGTTCCCCATTGTTCAGTCATCCTCATATCCCTGTCCCCTCTGCTTGTGGCGAATGGTTGTGGAGACTTCCACAGTGTTCTTCCTTGTGGTGCAACATCTTGTAGCGACAGCACCAGCACTGAGGTGAGAAAACAGCACAAAGGGCAGCGTCGCACTGGACACCTGAGGGTTGAATGATCTGGCACCGTGGCACGAAAGTCAAAGAAAACATGTCACCTCAAAAAAGTGGATACATCCTAAGAACCAGCGGCCAACAATGCAGTACATGGTCACCCTGAAGGATTGAACAAGACCGGGGTGGGTCTTCAGAAGCACGTGACAGGTGGCATGTGGTTTGCCGCGCGACTGACGCGTTCAGCGTACGTGGAGGCCACCATTTTCACCTGATAGATTCAAAGACCCTGTCCAGCAGGATTGTATGGTGAGAAGTGAGAAGCCAGTTCATCCATCCATTACATCGCCAAATTGGTGGCAAGGTGTTGGTATAGAATTGTCGTTGTTTTTGACAGCAAGCTGGTCTGCCATGCAGTGCACCCCCAACTACGTTGCAAGGTCTTGGTATGGATAATTGTTTCGTTTTGGAAAGTAAGCTGGTTTGCCATGCAGTGCATCTACAGTCGAACCCTATGTCAACACACACACACACCACAAACAAGGGGTTCAGGACATGTGTTTCAACTTCCTCTCTGATCACCAGGCCACCCATACACCATCAGGATGTCGAATTCAAAGCGTCTCACACACCTCTGCCGGGCAGCTAGCTCGCTGCCCCGGTTTCACCCGTTGACCCTGCCCGCTGCGCGAAACCAGAAAGGGTTTGTGCTGGAATTCCAACCACATTTGTCATTTGTCTATATCAAATATTATATAAATGACTCCAGTCTGAAAGTAGATGGTCGCAATTCTGTGGATTGCGCCATCAATTCTGAACGAACGAACGTACCTCCCAAGATGCACTACCATTGACAGCTCATGTTCCTTGTGTGACATGGAAGGGCTGCATCATTAGCCTCAAGAATCGTTGTGCCATCTACTCCCCCGCTGAAATGTGGCTAGTTTTGTGCACCCAGGTGCCATCTAGCCTCTCCCAGTTCTTTATCAGTTGTGCCTGACACTTTCCGAGTGGTGTATATATTATATAGAATGCATGATATAGATTATAGATGTGATTATATGTGATGTTTGTACTTCAATAGACAGTCTTACTGCAGCACCAGGACAAAACCCATGCCGGTCCCACGGGTGAACATTGGCATGGTTTGGATCTGTCCGAAGTGACGTCGGTAAACAAAGACATCACTGGTGACATCAGATGGAAGGGCCTGGAACCAAACCATCATCCACTGGGCTCTGTTTTTTTAAGGATAGACCCCAGGCATCCCCCAGGCATGGGACTCTGAAGTTGGTCCTTTCTCAAGTCGATGTCGCCAACGCGCCATCCATTACGGTCCTCTTCCATCTTCCATCCACCTAGCTGCTAGATCAGGTGATGTTTAATGCTCCCGGTGGGTGGATCGTTCATGTTTCTCCGGTTCCCTAAGCAAGTCCAAGATCCTCTTCCCTCTTCCGCTTGGCAGCGATGGCTCCCAATTCCCTGTCTTCGTCGCAGGTCAAGGAGGCTCACAACAAGTTCCTGCGGACCGTGGATTACTATTTGACCAAGGACCATAATATCACTATAGTATATATATCATGTCCTTCGTGTCCTTTGTTTGGCTGTGTGCTTTGGCTGTTTGCTTCTTTGACCATTGGTGCATCAGCAGATCCAAGTCCTTTCCGTCCTGTTGCTTCCTCGGACCCTGGGGACCCGCGGGCTCGAAGTAGCGAGGAGTGGGGTCCGCTTGAGGAGCCTCTATTTCGTAGCAAACCGACGTTTGGTACGACTTCTTGATCCTGTTTTGATCACCTGGCTTTCCTTTTCATCTTTTCATCTCTTTTCGCAAGGTGAGTGATATTTAGTTTTCCCTATGGGTCAATCCCCCTGGCACGGGGAATGCTGTTTCTTTTTGTCCAACTTCCTAAAGCATGTCCCATTTTCGACACGAACGGACCGTCGGGTCAAGGTCTTTGGCACGAGGCAACTTGGTCCTTGACTTGGCCAGACATGAGTTTGGGGACATGCGTATACCCCATCGTAGCACCCCCAAACGATGGTGGGAATGGCGATGGGATCATTGAATTATGCTGATAATAAGCAAGTTACGTCCCCCAAGTCCGGGAACTGCTTCCTGGGACATAAGTCTGGTTGCCCCTAGTGTTGGAGCTTCGCTAGGTCGGTGTAAAGGCATTTGGAGATGCTCGGTGCTGGTGCGAACAAGACCGAACGAAGCGAACATCCAAACTCAAACCATCAATGGGACTGGAAGAGTTACCGATGACATGGAGGGGTCAGACATTTGAGTCTATGCAACTATTCCCCCGTAGGCCCGTAAGAGACAGTTTCCTGCGGCCCGCGACCCGCAACTTGCACGTCCTCGGCTCCACTTAGCCCGCGCGGAAAGTCCAACGGCCTCGCCCGCGGGGCGGTGTCCGGGGCTGTGTCCACGAGTCCTCGTTGCAGCGGGGAGGCAGGGTAAGAAGTGAAGATTCAGAAGGGTCTGGGTGTACTTGAAGGTGTCTGGTAATTTTGTTGGGTGTATTATTTATACTGATGTACTGTAGGTGTTTGTAGTTTCTTCTCATGACAAAGACTTTATTTGCGATGTGACTGACAGCCTGTCTTTGTGTCAAGTCGGGTTACCCACTGATTCAGATACAGTGATAAATCTCGAAAGATACTGTAGATCGAAAGTTTGGTCAAGCGGCCAGTTGGAAGCTTTGCATCGGATCTTCCACTTATATATACTGATGCATCGGATTTTCAAGTCCAACATCCTGATGCTTAAACCCAGAGAGTATTGATTCTCTCACGCTCTGAACATGTTTGGTAACTCGTTTATTTGAAGGGCTGGTGTCTACGTACTTTGGAGGCGGCGACAGGCGTTTGAACCCAGCCGGTTTGGTCTCCAGTGGCCACCCACCCCAGTCCCACCTTCTCAGAAGTTGAAGTTGACTTTGGAGACGTTGGAAGCAGAGAAGACACCGCTCTCCCAGTTCTGGCGAGTTCGAAGCCTTTTTCACAAAAAAGAGACGTCATCCGGAGTCGACGATGTTGCACTATAGTTACAGTTTTACTTTAACACAAAAATACTATATATCTTCGGAGTTCGGCTAAACGGTGGAGTTCGACCTCCGGTTGCATTTCTTCATCTTGGGAGTGGGGAGAACGTGTTCGATCCACTTCGTCTTTCGGCGACCCCAAACAAAGCTCTGCTGCCAGGTCATGCCCCGAAAACTCGATCCTGCCAGGCCTTCCTCATGACCCGCACGCCCCGAGCGACGCTCGTGGTGGCGGCTGTGGCACTGCTCGCGTTGCTGCGCCACAGCGCGGCCGAGCACGTTTGTTTCAAGCCGGGGTGGGGGCGTGTGGGAGACGGCTCCCTCCTGAGCTCCTGAGCCAAAAGAATGAAGGTTTGATCCCGAATGATGGGTTTCGGAGGTGGTTTGTTGGGAGTGCTCAGTGTTTGTTGAGATTGTGAGAAACATATAGAAACATAATATATATATATATTATATATATAACTTACTAATATTACTTATATATATATACCCTATAATCCTATGCAATATGACTAGTCTTGGAAGTATGGAGACACGCTAATGACTTGAGCTTCTAACGTATGGCCGTTATATCTCATCTCGAGATCACAAACAGGATAGGTGGTGGAACTCCTGATTTTGACAGGAGTGTTGGTCGCCGGAATAGGTGTTGTTGTTTTATAGCTCCCATTGTTCGTCGCTGCGAGTGTGCTGGGGAAAAGAACTCAACTCCTTCATCCGCTGGGTTCGATTTCGTGACATTGTTCTGAGTTGGCTGGTTGGATTGATTTGTGGAGTTGGAGCATTGTTTTGTGCCCGGCTCTGGGGAAAGGCTCAGGTGAGCCTTTGTGGTCGCCGAAAAGGGTTTCAGGAAAGCGGGGAGTGGGCGAAGGTGATATCTGGTTGGTGAACTATGGGGAGGGTCCACCTCCTGTGTGGCACAGCCTTTGGCAGCACACATCCAGGACTCCACATGCCACATGGGTGATCATCACAACTGATCATGACATATATCATATATGAAGAGCAGCTTGATCACATGAATCCCGATCTAGTGGAAGTTGTTTAGGGTGGGGGAGGACAAGGAGCTGCTGTTCCTGCAGGAGTTGGGTGCGCACAAATGAGGCCACGACTAAAGGTGACCATCGAATGCCACAAATGGAGGTCATCACCAGAGCGCTTGAAGCATGCGGCACCCAGGATCAGATCTATTCAGCCCCCAACAGTTGAGGCTGTGAGCTTCTTCTGAGGAGGTCCAGACTATTCAGCCTCTATTGCTGGGCTGGGAATACCGTCGTGGAGCAGGAGTGCATCAAGAGCTTGCCGAGTTTGTCGCCTCAGAGCTCAAGGGCTCAAGGACATGGCCCAGATCTCAAAAGAGGCAAGGAAGGCGAGGGAGGAGGCCACACACAAGAAGACCAAGGATGGGGGCAGAGGATCTCCTGCCGATACCAACTAGTCTTCCCCTCGGCCACTGGCTGTTGTGGGTGCTTGCATTCAGTGGGAAAATATTGTCATTGGTGCAGGGATTTGGTTTACATTGTGTTGATGTTGAGTTGCAAGTCCAACGAGGCAGTTCCTGAAACATGTCGGGAGAAGCCATGCATGCAGAGTTCAGCAACAGACAACGAGACTTGCTTCCGCTGCCGCTTTTTGCTACAGATGACCCGTTTGGAAAGCAACAGGTCCCACAGCGAGCTGGGCTCAGCAAAGGTGCCTACCGACGTCTTGTTCGGCATAATGAGAACGTCGCCAAGGCCAACGAGGCCATCAAAGCTGTCAATAGCCTGGCTGGGCTCAAGTTTGCAAATCAAGAGAGCCCTTCAGTCGTGCAATCAACATGAGAAAGATCTTGAAGGCTGTTCGTGAAGCGTTGAGACCGAATTCATCAATCTCCATGCGTAAAAGCCGTTAGCTTCTGCATGACCGTCCCTCCACAGCATACGTTGAGCAGACAGGGACGATCAACTGTTATACCCTCTGTGTACTTGGTGTTGCCGAAGCCTGGTGCCCTTGGCCTTCCACCATGCTACGTGATGTAGAAAAGGAGCCGCCCTATATGTATATATATATATGGATGTTCAGCTGAAGG